GTTACAAAGTCTATTCCCGTACTGTCCTTCTTCACAAGATTTTCCGAGCATTTTCTTATCCAGGCCACTTCTTCCAATACGCCCACAGGCTCTCCTTCTTCAATCGTAATTTCTGAATCACTGAAGTTGAATACCGGAATGCGGTTAACATCAGATGACCCCACGACAGTTCTTGCCGGTAGCCATGAATTCACGTGTTCCGATTTATCAATCACAGCGCACCTTCGAGGTAAACTTCCTTCCCTCCTCCTAGGTAATGCGATTGGTACGAGAGTCTGTGATTTTGGTGCAAGAACAGTTCTTCTTAAACAGCAAACTTTTCCCAGGGTTCCACCCTTCATCGGAATTTCCTCAGTTCCACATAGTAATACTCCAGATTTTAAGTCGATGTTACACTGGTGCCCTTGCAGGAAGTCAAGTCCCAGGATGCAGTCATCCAGAATTCTGGCCACAATAACCTCATGTCGATAAACACGTTCCCCAATTTTGATTGTTACATGCAGTTTTCCACTTATCGGTATGCACTGGCCGGTAGCTGATTTCATTTGTAGGCCAACAATTGGTTTAAGGTGTTTCCTGATGTTTTGCTCGAGCAGCCGAACATTTATCACCGTCCTTGAAGCTCCAGTATCTAATGTTAGCTGACTGTTTTTCCCATTTACTTGACCGTCTATCACCAGGGTATTTCCATCGTTAGTTTGCTTGATGTAGATTGTTGGGGTTATTCCACTACCAGCCAGCGCCCACCCCGCAGCCTTGGCTGGATTTAAGTTTCCCTGCTGGTCAGAAGTTGAGACCGCCGCGTCCTTGCGGTTCATCTTCTTCGGGCAGTCGCTCCGTATGTGCCCACGCTCTCCACATCCATAGCACATGAAGTTCCGACGGCGTGGAGGTACCTGCTCCGTTGTCGTCATTTCCCGCAGACGTAAGGTACGGGAGTTGCCACGCACGGCTTCCACTTCCAATGCATGGGCCAGAGCTTCTTTCATGTTCTTGTTATGGCCCAGATGAACAGCAGTTCGTACTTCGGGGTCCCGAATACCGTCAATGAACGCTTGGAGAAGCGTGCCTTCAATCATTGACGGAGTCGACCGGAAAGCTCGACGCACAAGTTTCTCGATTTCCACGGACCATTGCTGTAGACTCTCATTATCACGCTGAGTACGCTCTTTTAATTGCGCTCTGTACACGTGCTCGAGGTGGCTGTCTCCAAAACGTGCCTCAAGTGCGTCGAGGAGGGCACTAAAGCTGAGATCTCCACTTGCGCCGATAGCTTCCAGCACTGAGAGCGCTTGATCACGGAGGGCCAGGGTGAGGGCTGACTGTGCTTCCTTCTGAGTCCAACCATAAGCCTCCATAAGTGTCTCAAACTGTAGCTTGAACGCGGTCCAGGATGTTGTTCCGTCGTAATGGGGAATCTTGAGCCCTTTCGTTGCGCTTAAGGCCGCATTTGGGGCGTCAAAAACGGCTGCAAGACGGCTTCGGCTCTTTAAAGGGCTTGGGTTTGTCACTTCCTGCTTGATTTTGGAGATCTCTTCTTCCAATCTCTCCTCTATCGCCATGACGCGATGTTCCAACTTGCCTAAACCTTCCTCCACTTCTTGTACCCGTTTGACAGCCTTTTGCAGTCCCTTCGTGAAATCTTTATGCATGTCTTCCAAGCGACGCACTTGCTCCTCTTGGCGACGAGCTTGATCTTCTTTCAGCTCCCGCAGCTGTCCTGACTGACAGCGTGCTTGCTCTTCTTGGCGGCGCGCTTGCTCTTCTTGGCGGCGCGCTTGCTCTTCTTGGCGGCGCGCTTGATCTTCTTTCAGCTCCCGCAGCTGTTCTGCCTGACAGCGTGCTTGCTCTTCTTGGCGGCGCGCTTGATCTTCTTTCAGCTCCCGCAGCTGTTCTGCCATCATTTGCTGCAGCTGTAGCAGAAGATCCACCTGCACAGGCTTGGCTTCTGCATCGCTGGTTTGAGCTGCAGCACCCTCTTCTCTCACACGCTGCGCTTCTGACATAGCACGGGTACTCACTCCTCTTACGTCCTGCGGCACTAGCGGCATTTTTCTCCAATCCCACTTCTGACACCAAATGTTACGTGCCTGACGTCACGTTCCTAACTATGCGGGCTTGGGTTACGGGATTGGATGAAATTAAACACTAATACCGGTTTTCAGACTTTCTATTGCACTTAAGTGACAGCGTCCACGGATACGGATAAGTTATCGGCGTTCCTCTCCAGCAGAGTCCGGCCGACTGACACAACTTTGCCGTTCACTGTTCACGCTGACTTAACTCACTTAACTGACTGCACTTCACTATTTCACTGTACTTCACTATTTCACTCACTTTTCTTCTTTTCACTTCTTCCTTTTCTTCCGAATCGCTTTGGACTTAGAACTCAACTGCCAGCGGTGAGCCGCAGTTCCGCTTATATACCCCTGGTCAGGTTCTAGAACATTCAATTTCGTTATTCTTTTTGATCGTCATGCCTCCAGAACCTTCCAATAATTTCGTTATTCATTTTTATTTATTCTCCTTCTCGCTCCTTTATTTTTCATTACTTTCACTCAAATATTCCAGAAAGTTCGACAAAACTTCCATCAACTAAAAAACTTCATGTTTACGGCGGGTCTCGAACTCGGGGTCTCTGTGGTGTAATCCACACGCCTTACCGATTACACCAACTCGTGTTGACAATTCACGACGAAATTTACAATCTCTAGGCAACGTTTGACAACCATCCATTGACGTCATGATGTCAAAGAGTTTTCTGTCACAATTGAAATACTTTTTTTCCTTTTTTTGCTTGACTTTCAAAAGTGCCTAATGTGGTCTAATTGAAATAAATGATTTTGATTTTTTTACTTTTTGTCAAAGTTGTATTGAAAAGTCGCTATAATTTATTTTCAACCAAGGGAACCACCTTATTCTGAAAGTACAATTCGTCCAGATCAACAATGAGGCAGACGAAGAATTATTTATAGAATATGATGCAAAAACATTCAGATAAAAGTGAAAATAACAAAACAACTTGTTCATAATTTCTTAGTAATAATTCATTATATTCGGCGTTCGTATGTAATGTGATAGATAAGATGTGATCCTTACAAAGAAACCTATTTTTATAATATGAAACAAAGAACAGCCGCGCTATCGCATCTGTGTGCGATATACTCGAAAACTACTGGACGAGTTTTTATTCAATATCGATATCCCGGTTGATACAGATTTTTTTAAAGTTTCAAGTGCAGCGAGTGCGTATGCGGATGAAAAAGTTAATACTAGTAATAGTAATAGGGGATTGTCCTTGGGTGCATTTCCAATGTGCATACAAGGATAGTTGCCGGTTTGTATCCTCTAAAGGGCCTCTGCGCAGTTGGTTTAGGCGCCGTACACCAAGATCATATTCTGTTTTGAGAGATTAGCAACATCAAATATCTTCTGTCGCCCAGGCTGGGGGCAGATTATAGCGCTTGCCCCGCAATTATTGTCTATGGCTGTGTAGGTACTGTCTCTTAAAGGCTCAAATGACCCCGACCCTGTGGTACCGTAATTGATTTTTTATAAATCGTAGTAAAAATAAAATCATTTCTTCTGATGTTCCCCTATATTATGTATGAAAGTAGGCCATTATCCCTTTTATTAGCAATAACTGGTTTTATGGCACGCCGTTTTACGTCATAGGGGGAAGTGGAGGGGAGGGGAGGGTCCTGGAAGAAGAAGGGTCGTATTTTATAGCTTTCTATTTATACCATGTTAGTAATAGGTTTCAATTAAGTGAATTAATGTGCGGTTACACACACTTCAATGAATGTGTTTAATATTGACAACTAGTCAAAATTTTACTTTCCGGTAGGCAAATTAAATATTTATATTAAAATGTCAAACTTAACTTCTCTTTGAATTTTGTGTTAAACTTTATGTTTTTGAGTCATATGGCCATGTTAGTCAATGACAATTTTTGAGCCAAATGGCAATTCGCTACCTTGTTTAGAAAATGAATATTTAACTCAGTTATTCTGGACTACAAAAAGTAAAAAATCCTCAGTAACGTACTATATAACGAATAAGAAAAACCCATAGCACATAAAGAAAAAAGTATTCTTGTACCAATAATATCTTATAAGTATATCTATGTCCCAAAAAATAAAGAAATAACAACCGTCTAGCTAGCCCAACAGGACCTTAAAAGCGTACATTGACCCCAAAAGAAAGATAGTTCTCAAAGAAAAACACCAAATATTTTGGCAGACTAGTTCTTCATGAACTTGAACATTTCACGATCGAATAAACTTTGTTATTATTGCCCAAGTTCCATGATATTTCTGCGGCAAACTGCCAAATGTTTTCGCTACTGTCTACATTACAAAGGTCGCTAAAGTTTCTTGGCCTTGATCGGTATGTAAGTTGCCAAGTTTAAGTTTATATGTACTTAGGTAATAGGTAATTCGTTATTATAATCTTTGGAAACATTAAGGCTCCAATTCAAAGAAGATACTAGCCCTATCTCGTATACACATCATCAGCATAAAAAATCTAGCAAAATCCTCTTCTCACACGATAAAGGTTTGAGCATTAATCACCACGCTTCCTCAAGACGGATTTGCGATTTCATATTCATAATAATTATTACAAGCATGATTCACCCACACTTAAACGTATATAGTTTTTTTGAAAATCATGAAATGACTTGAATCTCGCCCAGGTTATGGCGAAAGGGAGTGTCAGACTCTTACTGACTAAAAACACCCCCGTTCCTTCACCTGCTTTAGGCCGAGGTTGCGGTGACTTATTACGCTTGCCCCGCGACCCTAGCTAGGCATTGACCGCGTTGGATCCCATCTGTGGTAGTCAAAGAACCAATAGACTATTTCTTTACGACGAGCGGCAAATTTTATACTGCACATCGTAATATTGGAAAAGGCATTATTAATATTGCAAATTGTACTTTTTCTTTTTTGGAAATAAACTAAAACTTATTGATCACTTTTCTGACTGTTTTGATTCAGGTGTTCAGTGTGCGATGCCCTGCTATCGACGTGGTACTTCGAGAAGGCGGGCCTGTTGTTTTGTCAGGACGACTATTGGGCCCGGTATGGGGAGAGCTGCCAGCAATGTGCACAGGTACTTGTGTTTTTATAGGATACGTGGTCAAACGAGCAGGCGGATCACCTAATGGCAAAAAATCTGCGCCGCTCATGGTGTAACCTTTGATGGTGTTATGAGTTTGGCAACCAGACTCAGACGGCACAACAGAACGCAGACGTTGTGTTACGCTGGTTTTCTATAAGACCTTAGTATCACTCCGCTTTAGCCGGTTATAATTAACTGACTTTTTTGCACAAACTCTACTTACAATACTTGTGATATTATTATGAAGTAAATTTATTTTTGCGGGAATAAATTCATCAATCAACACGGTGAAGGAAAACCTCGTGAAGAAAACTGGAGTTATAATTTCTAATTATAAGTTTGAAATCGCCAATCCGCCTTGAGCGAGCGTGGTGATTAATGCTCAAATATTCTCCGTGTCTTGTGCCTTTCCTCAACAGCGGGTACTTATAGGCTGATGATAATGAGATTAATCAAATGACTTCTCCCGCCTAGGGTGGTGTGAGAGGGTCGGTCAGACTCTTATTGACGAAAACTCCGTTCGTTCTTCTGCTTCAAGCAAGGCTCCAGTATATAATTTTGTATTAAATGCTGTGTGATAGGTGATAACGGGTCCGGTGATGGCGGCAGGCGAGCACCGCTTTCACCCGGAGTGCTTCATGTGCGTGGCCTGCGGATCTCACATCGAGGACGGGGAGCCCTATGCGCTACTCGAGCGCTCCAACTTATACTGGTCAGTTCATAATGTCATATGTTCATGTCTTCTGAATAATCTACTGTGTGATCTGAAATTTGTTAACTTTTTGCCATTTGATTGTCGAACAAAGTTTTTAGCATATTTTGAATTTGATTTATTACTAGCTATTTACGCGCGGTTTCACCCGCTGCTCGGCTTTTACGGATCGTAGCCATAGCCTATAGCACTTGAGAATACTGTAGCTATCTATCAGCGAAAGAATTTTGTAAATCCGACCAGCGTTTCCGAAGATTACAAAACCACATACAAACTTACAAATACAAATTTTACCTGATTATAATATTAGTATAAATTCGAAAATCTCAGCTCAAAACCTTTTCTAAACCCAGTAAAGTGACTTAATATAAACGAATATTATAAAGCTGAAAAGTTTGTTTGTTTGGACGCGTTAATCTCAGGAACTACTGGTTCGAATTGAAACACCATTAGACCATTGATTGAGGAAGGCTTTAGGCTGTAAAAGAACACGCTTCAATATGTAGGAGCCGAGCACCGGGTGAAACCGCGGGACAGTAACTAGTGAAGTTATAATAACATTATTCTTGATGTTGTTTGTAGTGGTGCTTGCTACGGTACCACGGTGCGGTCGGTGTCCCACTCCATCCGTGTGGTGGAGGTACCTCCCTCCTCTGTCAAGGTCACACACACCCCGCCCGCCACTATCACTGTCAAAGAGTAAGTATTTTAAACAATGATTATGTTACATATTATCATCTAATGCTAAGAGCTAATGGTAACTTTTCATTCGTAACGATATTAATAACAACATAACATTGAAAAGAATACAATTTTTATCATAAATGTGTTTGATAATGTAAATTTTAACTCTGAATATACATTCAAATTTATATGCGCAAACAGTTATACCTAATAAAATTGCGCAACGGTGTAACGAAAATTTTGCCCATTTGATTGCGCAACATAAATCTACATGCGCAAAATAAATCCACTTGCGCAATTTTTTTCGATTGTCTGTATATCTGTGGTGTATGAATGAGGGATATATTTAAGGACCCGATTTTAGTGCTAAATAAAACAACTTTTTTTCTAACACCAATATGGAAAATCAAAAATGTTACTTCTCCATGCAAAACGATCAATCAGCTGTTGCGTTTTGTATGAGGAAATAAATTTATTTTTGAGTTTTCAATATTGGTCCCATGGAAAAAGTTATTGTAATTGAGCACAGAAATTGCCTCCTTGGATATAATAGTTCCTTAATTTTGTATACATGCCTATTATTGGTGTTAACTGCCCCTAAACGACGAAGTTTTTTTGCCCATTCTTCTCCATTCGTGTCTACAATTTGGAACGAGCACCTAGCTTCACTGAAGAACAGACTGACAGACTTTTCAAAAGTACCTACTTATGGTTTAGTTGGTTTAAATGATTTTGACTTAGACTTTGACCTAATTATTGCACTAACTGGGAACTAACCCGCTAGCGGGCGATGCGGCGGCAAGCTGTCGGCGGCCGCGCGAGCCTTGCTGCGCGCTGTACTCTCCGTCTGCATACAACTTACATGTCATAGGTACTCATGTCAATGGCGCTTCATTCTTGCCTAGAGCATGGCTTCAATAACGTTATCGTATTTTAAATTTAATCTTTTGTTAGAGTTAAGTCTTGTGTTAGAGTTCACTTTTGATTACGTAGATGGCGATGACAGTGTAGATCCATCCACACAATGAACATGGATTTGAATAAAAGCTTATGATGCTTTGTGTTAGAGTTTAATTTCCTATGTAGTTAGCATGGTTGAGTTTTTGGCTTTAAATAATAATTGTGTTGTATGGTTGTTTTGTTTTAGATACTTTTCTTCTTCTTTATCTATAAGCGAAGTTTTTGTTTGTGATAAAATAAAGTTTATGGTTTTAAAAATTTGAAATACCATTTTGATTAGCATTACCTCACTCGAATTCTTATTAAATTTGGCTTAAATACACATCTGGATAACGCGAGCAAAGCCGTGAGGAAGAGAGAGAGAGAGAGAGAGAGAGAGAGAGAGAGAGAGAGAGAGAGAGAGAGAGAGAGAGAGAGAGAGAGAGAGAGAGAGAGAGAGAGAGAGAGAGAGAGAGAGAGAGAGAGAGAGAGAGAGAAAGAGAGAGAGAGAGAGAGATATGCCGCGCAGCTTACAATAGCTTATCGTACCAAAAAGTGTAGTTACAACCTTTCGTCTTAATTTTTATCGTCTAGCGCAAACGCAACGCACGATAAGTTACTTCGATTCAATAATACACCTAAAACCTATATAGGTAGTACAGAACATGACTGACTCACTGTGATTGTGTTTTATTTATAGAATTTTGTCGCCACAGTTTATTTTGCTCTTCGTTTGATTTACCAGTTTTATTACTACTTACATATAATGATTGCACGGTTGACGCCGTGGCTGGGCAACTGGCTGCCGTGCGACGTGTCGGGATTTCGATTCCCGCATGATGTGTATGTGCAATTGTATGTTTGTAACCGCTTCAGCCGGGGTTGCGGGGTAAGCGCAATGAGGTACCGCGACCTCGGCACAGAGCAGGAGAAGGAACAGGGGGGTTTTTAGTCAGTAAGAGTCTGACACTCCCTCCTGCCCGGCCCTGGGCGGGAGAAGTCATTTGATGATTTTCCCCTCACAAAAAAAAAAACCCTCTACACAAAGTTAAAAAAAAATGATTGTATCCCTGGCTTACTCAAAATATATGTTGCTATAACATACACAGTGGAGCAATTTACTATCAGAATTGCACCCCTGCGAAGCCGGGGCGGGTCGTTAAGTCGCTCTTCTTACCCTGTCTGTATTTATGCTCAGATCTTTAAAACTACGTGACAGATTTGGTTAGTGTTCATTTAATAGATAGAATAACTGAAGTGCAACTTTAAAGTGTTAAATTTATTAATGGTAATGTCCTATCACTCCCTCTCGCTCCACCTAGAGAGAAGTCACCGGAAGACCCCCCTCAGAAACCCCCATTCATTGACTCCCTTCAAAAAAATCTGCATTCATAATATATGATGTCAGCATTCTCCCTTCACTATGACGTTATAATTGAGTAGTTTCCTGGGTCAAAAATAAATTAATCCGACTTTACTTAACTACCAAACTATACTTTTATTCATCGATCGATGGATATACTAAATTTTAGATATTTTTAAGCTATTTTTTAAGAAATAAGTAAGGTATTTGATGCAAAAATACTATGATTTCATAACTCAGTGTTTCTTACAAATTTCATAGAAAAGTATCATTTTTGACTTTTGAATAAAAGTATTGAATTTGACTAGTTGGCAACTACCTTATTGTATAATTTATTAATGTTCATCAGGAATAACACTGAGTTATGACGTCATAGTATTTTTGCATCAAATAGTTTACTTATATCTTAAAAATTTGATAAAAATATCTAAAATTTAGTGTATCCATTGATCGATGAATAAAAATATAGTTATTTACTGTCAATATTTATATATATATTGTCAATATTTTATTGTATTGAAACATCTAATTTATTTTTGACCTAGGAAACTACCCAATTGTAATGTCTCGTGATTTCCTTTCGCTCAACCTAGAGAAGTCATTGGAAGATCCTCCATTCCCCTCCCTCCTCGAAAAAACCTGCATTCAAAACATGATGTCAGCATTCTCCCTTCACTATGACGTTATTATTACTAATACAATAAGGAATATTTTAACAGTCGGGTGGTGACCGGATAATTTGTGCATATAGTTAATATATATTAGTTTATACATTTTACTCAGATTGCTAAATTGAATTCATTCTTATCACATTATTATTAGTCATCATTGTAATGTGTCTCTTTACTTGTAGTCCAACTATACCTAAATGTGTTGTGTGTGTTTTTCTAAAATTCTCTGTAATTTTGTGCAATATAACGTTGTATAAAGATATTTGTGCATATTGTGATGAACGTGCCAAAAAAGTTTTATCATACTCATAAAGTGCAGTCGTTTGGGAGTTTTTAGCGAACAGAAATATTATTTTTTGTGTGTAAAAAGTCTTGTTTCAATATGATGGCGGAGAGTATAAAGTAAATTAGTGCTTCGTAGTGTTTAGTTTAAGATGGCTTTTAATTTATTATTATTATTTTTTTGTTTATAGAAGTTGTTTTTGTGAGTTTAGCAAGCTAAACTTATTACTACTTATTCTGTGTTTGTGTGCAGTAGTTGTATCAACGCATGCTCTACCGAACATTTATATTGATTTATTTTTAATATATTATATTAGATTGTCTATAAAGAAAACTATTCCATTACAATAATTGTTGTGCTTATGATTGATTATATGTATAAACAATTGTATCGTCGTTTATATAACTTAATATCTTCCACCGATTTAGGTGGTTAACTAAAGGTAAACAATCTTGGCATCTCTTTTTATAAAAGAGGTCGTATAAAATATATACTAATTAATATTATATTTAAATTTTGTTTATTTGCTACATAGATTTAGGTATTAGTATAGATACCTTAAACATTTTTACATACAGTTTTTACACAATTTTCATATAATCCTGCATAGTGTATATCGCTCAGGAACATTGTAGCTATCTGATCTGAACGAATTTTAGTAATCCTACTAGCGGTTCCAAATATTACCCAGTACATAGAAACTTACAAATTTTACCTCTTTGTAATATTATAAATGAAACAATAAATGCCTTAACACAAATTAGTGTTAACGATAAACTTGATATAACAGATTTTAGATCTTTTTTTTATATTTCAGAATCGACTCGTCATGTGGCGTGTTGACGTTACACATTGGCGACAGGATCCTCGAGATTAACGGCACTCCTGTGAGGAATAGGCCTCTGGATGAAATCGAGAGGGCGTTAGGACGACCAGACACCGTTATTCAGGTATGAAAAATGGTAATGAAAAAGAGAAGAGTAGAGACGACTACAAGAAGTAACCAATCCCCAATTGGCCCAATCCTTCCCTTTCCCAATCCCTCCCCAGTTCCTAAATCTCCAAATCCCTAATCCCTAAAAGGTCGGCAACGCACTCGTATCTCCTTCGTTACGGGTGTCCATGGGCGGCGCTGATTGCTTACCATCAGGTAATCCGTATGCTCGTTTGCCGACATATTACATAAAAAAAAAGTACAGAAGTCCTTAATTGGCAGAACTGCAGATACGAGGGGCGTTCAATGTATTCTCGGTATAGACATGAATGAAAACTCGGAAAATTTTGGAAAAATTCTATTTTTTAATGTAGTCCCCTAGACCCTCAATACATTTGTTAGATCGAGGAATTAGCTTCTTTAAGACTTGTAAAAAATATTCTTCTGGCTTCTCCTCAAAATGGGTATTAATTGCTACCTTAAGTTCATCATCGTCGGAAAATCGCTTTCCACGAAGATCTTTCTTCAAATTCGGGAATAGGTAGTAATCACTGGGGGCCAAGTCTGGACTGTACGGAAGATGATTAATTTCTTCGAAGCCACAGTCCCGTACAGCAGCCTTCGCCACGCGGGCCGTGTGAACCGGCGCGTTGTCATGAAGCAGCAACACCCCCGCTGTGAGATTTCCTCGCCTCTTTTCTTTAATTGCTTCCCTTAAATTACGCAAAGTGGTTGCGTATGATGCTGCTGTGATGCTTTCACCTTTTTTTGTGTATTCTATTAATAAAATACCTTTAGAATCCCAAAAAACCGTGGCCATTATTTTTCCGGTGGAAGTGGTGACTTTGAACTTCTTCGGAGGCTGTGCACCCTTTTTAACCCACTGCATGGACTCCTGTTTACTCTCAGGGTCATAGTGATGAACCCACGTCTCATCTCCAGTAACCAGCCGGTCGAAAATACTCGATGGATCTTCTCCACAGAGCTCTAAAAACTCCTTACAGCACTCGACTCGCACTTGTTTCTGAGGCGCGGTGAGCATTCTCGGCACCCATCTTGCACTGACCTTTGAGAGATTAAGATGATCATGAAGGATTGCATGTATGGTACCCACAGATAGGTTAATCATCTCTGCTAACATCCCGATTCTTATTCTGGTATCTTCAAGTACCAATTTCTCCACTTTTTTAACATTTTCTTCAGTGAGGGCGCTTACGGGCCCACCCGAGCGAGGGTCGTCTTCAATGCTCTCTCTGCCTCTTTTAAATTCACTTAACCACTTTTGAACGGTGGACAACGACGGGGCAGAGTCTTGGTAAACAGCAACCATCTCTTCGTGAATGGTTTTTTGACTTTTTCCCTGCTTAGTGAGGAACTTTATAACAGCGCGATGCTCGATTTTCTTAATCATTGTAGCGTCAGACATTCTGATCGTCTTTCACTGCAGATAATTAGAAAACTAATGAACGTAAATAAGTTAAATTTTATATTTATACCCTCAGATAGTGTCATTAGTAAATGAGATAATTAGATTACCCACATTATTAGCAAATCACCCCGATACCGAGAATACATTGAACGCCCCTCGTAATACTGTAGCTTTTTATGAGTGATGTTATAAGTCACATTTAATACGCCATAAACTTAAAACCATACATATGACACAATTGTAGATTCGTAATGAGGCGCCTCTGCCTAGAGCAGGAGAAGGAACGGGGTTTTTTTTAAGTTAGTCAGAGTCTGGAACATCTGCTCGCCTCACCCTGGGCGGCAGAAAACATTTGATGATATTCCCCTGACAAAAAAAAAGTATTACTAAAAATGACAAAAATCTAATAACATTTCCCGGGAATCGGACCCGGAAGTGAACCTTATCGTGCTTAGAACCACTCGACAATGATGCAGTGTTAAGACGTCAAAAATTGGGTAGTTTCCTAGGTCAAAAATAAATTATTATTTTTACTTTCCAATATAATGAGCAATTAAAATGTAATCATACATTCATTGATCTGACGACATACTTCATTCTAGATTTTTTTGTTGTTTAGTTTATAAAAATAATTACGTTGTTTTACTTAAAAACATTATGACGTCGTATGTTGCTATCTCATACAAAATTCATAGAAAAGTATAGTTTTTGACATTTCAATAGTTTTTTTTTAAAGATAGGAAAAAGATTCTTTGTAATACTTTTGTAAAAGAAAAAACGTTGACTTACACTAAGATTTTGGAAACTACCGAATCCTCGTATTCCTTTTAAACATGACAAAACTATCTTAATAACATAATAATTAGTTATTTTTTGAATTACAGCTCACAATAGAACAGACGGCAGACAAAAACACAAAACGCACACAAACAAACAAACAGACACGGTCACAAACGGACGAGAACAAAACACATGACAGACAAACTGACAAGAAAACACACACCAAAGAAGACTGCAAGCAAAGACAATCCATAGAAGTAGAGAAAAAAGAAGAAGGAAAGAAGGAAAGGTTGTTTAAAAGGAAAGGGGGGGAGGATGCGGGGAGATGGGTGAACAAGAGGAGGCAAACCCCTTCGTCCCCCCTACTGGGGGATAAGGAGAAGAGTAGCAGTATGTCCAAGCTGCTAGATGCGTAAGTATAGCTTTTAAATAGAGATGACTATTCTTAGGCATTGAGTAGATATAGTATAGTGCTCCTACTTTGTATTGTAACTTGGTATACAGAATGATGATAATAATAATAAGCTATTGTTACATATTGTTTTTTGTTTAATGTGGTAGCATGGCTAATGATCATACTTAATCCGTATGGATGCAAAGTGTGCCAGTCAGTCAGTCAAAATAATTTATTCTAACTTAAATTGATACTTTTGAAACGTCAAAATAGAATAGTCGCCTTTAGTAATCTGTTCGTCAGTGAAGCTAGGTGCTCATTCCAAAATTGTAGATTTGAATGGAGAAGATCAAGCAGGACCGGAGGAGTTATGAGTGCGTGAGTGCGAGTGCTCATCCACACAGCGAGACACACCGCTCACACGCTGGTTTTCTGTAAGGCCGTCGTATGAGGCCGTTGGCTGGTTTTAAATGACATCGAGATTCTTTGATAGCACTTTATCCGATCTAAACGCCAATCCTTTGATCGGAGCCTTTACATTAGACATTTTTATTATGTATTATATTTCCTTATTCAGTTAGTTTTGGAATAAAAGTAATTAAACAAGAGAGAGAAATTGAGAAAAGATAAAGTATTGAGAGAGTTTATTAAGTCAGAGGGAAACACAATCGATACCAAAAAGCCTTTAACCCTGTGCACTGAGATACAAGATCCTTTAATAATTAGCATTTAATTACGTTATCCCCCAGTGTGGACGGAGATGAATCGAGTGGTGTGCTAAATGACCTCGCCAGGGCGCGGTCCTTCCGTGCGGAGCCCGAGCCCGGGCAGAAAGTGTTCCGGGCCAGCGATTTACTACAGGTCAGTGAAATAACTATCAACGAAAACATATTTTTGGGCATGCCATTTGCTCTAATTCGTTAAGGCGCCCGCTTCTTATGCATGAAGGTGCTGGTTAGAAACCTGGCAAATACCAACGTGACTTATTTCGAGTTATATGTACTTTCTATGATTATTTAAACACCAGTTCCATACGGTGAGAGAAAACATTTAATTACAAGTTTGTAATTGCCAATCCGCCTTGACGTTTGGCAATCACCAATTGGCACGAAATTTATTTTTAAAATAGCTGACCTAGCAAACTCTGTACCGCCTCAAATATAAATATGTTCTTACCTTTTAAACCTTCCCTGGACTTTAACGAATATTTTAAGACCAAAATAACCCAAAACGGACCAGCCGTTCTCGAGTTTTAGCGACACTAACAAACATCAATGTTTTTTACAGTAGTATTTTTATATTTTGTCAACGGGAGCAGTTAGAAACGATATACCTACACAAAGTATTATTATTATATTCACGAAAAATTTCGCCATTACATATTGAAACTTCGAATAGGTTATATTCTACATGATGAACTTTTTTTTTAAATGCTATTCTTCCTGTAGGGTGAGCTATTAGGCTCTGGTTTCTTCGGCGAGGTGTACAAGGTGACCCACCGCGACACCAACGAGGTCATGGTGCTGAAGCAACTCTACCGGGTCGACGAGGACGCGCAGAGGAACTTCCTCAAGGAGGTACTGCTTTTTTCTTACTCCTAACTCCTCAAGTATAAGCTGACTGAAAATTTAACAGTCCATTCGAATTGGACATGTCTGCCATGCCAACCCTACGTAGTAAGTTTTACTACTTTTTGGTAATTTTCTTTTTTTCTCTCTCTATTTTTAAACTCCGACGTAAGGGGTGTTATAAGTCTATCTGTCTGTCTGGCTGTGAATCTGTCTGTGGCATCTTAGATCGCAAATGAATGATCCGATTTGAATGCGGTTTGTTTTGGTTTCAAAGGTATATGAGTAGAGAGTGTTCTGAGCTATGTTTGGTGGAAATCTGTTCAGGTCTTCAAGGTCGTTTGTGTGATGAATTTTCCACACTCAATTTACTTGCAAGTTTTTTTGCTTTTGATAGGCTTTAACATTTTTAACCTTTTCCCATACAAATTGCGCACCGTTTTTGGGTGGAAGTGTTTGGAACCTAACTAAAGGTATTTAACTGAAGTGGATTGAAAACACCTAATACATATATTGGCTCAATGAACAGTACAAATGTTGGAAAACTAAGGCAGGTATGTCCGAAGATGGAATGCGATGAGTGACTTGCCCCTTCCTCCCCCCCCCCCCCCTTTTTATCCCTTCCCACCTCCAGCGCTGAGCCACGCCTTTTGTGCGTAAATAAGAGGGTTTTTTTTTATTTTTAATTAACATGTTAAGCGCCATGGGGGTCACCGGTGACCTCCGTTAGCGGAGGATTTGCCTTCAACAGTTTTCTGTCGGCATTCAAAGGCTTAATATTGTTATTTATGTAGTGATGTCGTGTCGCAGGTGGCAGTGCTCCGTTCGCTGAAGCACCGCAACGTGCTTCGGTTCGTGGGTGTACTCTACAAGGACAAGCGACTCCATCTCGTCACCGAGTACGTGCCGGGGGGGACTCTGTACCAGCTACTGCAGGTAGCGACACTCACGACATCATGTGACTTCAGATCAGATATAATTAATTCAAGATACGACTTTCTCGCGTGAAAATACTACTAGTGTGTACATGTGTTTCGCCGTGTGAGTGGTTACCGGAGGCCCAATCCTTCCCCGCCCCCAATCCCTCTCAATCCCTAAATCTCAAATCCCTAATCTCTAAATCTCAAATCTCTAATCCCTAAACCCTAAAAGGTCGGCAACGCACTCGTAACTCCTCCGTTGCGAGTGTCCATGGGCGGCGCTGATTGCTTACCATCAGGTAATCCGTCTGCTCGTTTGCCGACCTATTACATAAAAAAAAATAGTTTTTTTATGTGATACCCTGTAGCAAAGGATCAGTCGGATTACCTGATGGTAAGCAAATGTTGGCATAATCAAGGATTCGAAGATTGGGCCACCGTTAACGCCACTTACGCAGCGAAGTCTGTTGTTTCACGCCAATTTTCTTATAGGCCGTGGTATCTCTCGAGTCGAGCCGGCCTATTCATATCGAAGCATGGCTCTCCTATAGACTGTACCTATGTATATTCGGTTGGTGCGGTGGCTGGGCAACTGACTGCCGCGTAACGTGTCTTGGACTCGATGCCCGTACGGAACAATTATTTGTGTGATCTACAAATTGTTGTCCCGGGTCTGAGTGTGATGTGTAGATGAAATTGTATGTTTTTTAACGTGATAGTTCGACAAACGAGTATGTTTGTAAACGCATACACAGGAGAGACACTTATATGGGGAAACGTTTTAACCGAAATAATAATAATATAACACTTTATTCTCTATATAATGTTACAGGACAGTACGGTCCCCCTGAGCTGGGAGGTCCGGGCGCGGCTGGCGCGGGACGTGGCGGCGGGGCTCGGGTACTTACATCGCAGGAACGTCATACACAGGGATCTCAACTCACACAACTGTCTCGTGCGGGAGGTAACGTATACACATACATACATCATCATCATCATCATCAGCCTATAAGTGCTGAGCAACGACCTCTTCAAGGCAAAGATAGTAGCCAGATTGGCGATTTCAAACTTATAATTAAAAATTTAAAGTCAAGCTTCACTATAGTCAGTAGTGTGTAGTGGATACACGGGGCCTATTAGGGCTGTGTGTAGCTAGGGTCGGGGGGCAAGCGCAATGAGGCAGGCCTCGGCCTAGAGCAGGAGAATGAATGGGGTGTTTTGTCAGTAACACACTCTTTCTTTACTTATTCTCACAAAAAAGGTTTCTTCACGATCTTTTTCTTCACCGTATGTCAGTGGTGTCTTAATAATCGGCAAAAAATCACAAAAAAGGGGTCTTCGATAAATTTTCAAACTGCTATTTTCAATCCGCTTGGAAGTTAGGGCAGCTGCTTTTGTGCAAAGAGAGAATAATGAAGGTGTACCTAAGAGCGATGATGGCTAGATAAGCATACAGTTGCGTTCCCCGGCAGGACAAGACGGTGATAGTGGCAGACTTTGGTCTGGCTCGCGTGGTCCAGCGCGCCGCATCCTCCACCTCCACGCTGCGCCGCAAGCGGTACACGGTAACTATACCTACGACATACTTCGTTTTGTTACTGGCGACCCACGATCACGCGCCATGTTCGATACGATAAATTACCTGATGGTAAGCACTCACCACCGCCCTTAGGTGCACTCGTAACTCCTCTATTGCAACAATAGAGGAATTACGAGTGCATTGCCGACCTTTTGGGGATTACGGATTTGGAGATTTAGGGATTGGGCAGGGTTTGGGGGATTGGGCCTCCGGCAACCTTAACTCACACGGCGAAACACAACCTAATTGTTGCTTCGAGCCAGTTTTCTGCGAGGCCGTGGTATCACTCCGGTCAAGCCGGCCAATTCGCACTGCAGCATGGCTCTCTCACACTTAGATATATCAACTTTATACAGATTGTATAAATGGAAATCCTTACTAAAAACACATCTAGATAAGCGGAATTAAAACGAATTCTAGGTATTTTTGCCTGAAATATCAGTTCAAAAATATATTTTATTATTTTTTCCGATTTGTACCAAATTAATTAATAATGTACACGCAACAAGAATACATGTAAGAACCTCCATTAAATTAAATCAAAAACTATTTCCTTCATAAAGATATAAGTTTTATCAAGGACGCAATTGAAGTGAAAATAGATTATTTACTTGTGTTATAATAATGTTACTTCTCCTAGGTGGTAGGCAACCCATACTGGATGGCCCCGGAGATGATGAACGGGAACGTGTATGATGAGAAAGTAGACGTCTTCTCCTTCGGCATCATACTCTGCGAGGTAAGTAACTCATTAAAGTTTTATATTTAGTACAATGTGGCTCACATTCTACTAAATAATTAAGCCAACGTTAGCCCGAGCGTACGGCGCGTAGCGTTCCGCGCGCTTGAAGAGCCAATAGACCACCACAGACGGGGCCCTATAGGGCTTATGTCCAGCCGGGGTTGCGGGGTAAGCGCAATGAGGCACCGCGACCTCGGCCCAGGGCAGGAGAAGGAACGGGGGGTTTTTAGTCAGAAAGAATCTGACACTTCCTCCCGCCCGGCCCTGGGCGGAAGAAGTCATTTGATGATTTTCCCCCCACAAAAAAACAACATAGGGGGATTTGCTCCAGTGCCTTAGATGCGTTTACAAATACACAGATTCACATAAACATCACATCTAGACACCGAACAAATAATGTACCGCGGCCTCGACCTGGGCCGGAAAGGGAACCCCCTCTCTCCCCACCTAGGGCGGATATGATCGATGGTTCTCCCCTCCCAAAAAATTACTAAAACTTATACTAACTAATCTATTCCTATATATTTTTTTATTTAATTCATATCTTAAGTCTTTTTCGTTTCTCCCCAGATAATTGGTCGGGTGTCAGCAGACCCGGACTTCCTGCCCCGTCGGTCGGACTTCGGCCTCAACGAGCCGCTGTTCATTGAGAAGTTCTGTCGCGCCTCCCACTGCCCCGAAGCATTCTATCGGATCGCGTTCCTTGCTTGTCATCTAGACCCCGATATAAGGTACTGTTTTGTTTTTATACCGTAGGTCGGCAAATGTGTGGATGAATTACCTGGTAGTAAGTAATTGAAGATCAACAAGTGCGTTTCCGGTCCTTTGGGAATGGTAAGGGGGGGGGGGGATTGCACTAGACCCGCAACCTCGGCTGAATATCAGCCCTTTTGCGAGTCAAGCACTGTAATGTATCGCTGCCCCATGTCTTTTTTGTTTTAATGAGTATCGCAGAGTTTTTTGTATGTTCTTTTTCATAAGAATCTACATTTCAAAACGCACTTGACTGATCGATGTTCAACTTTTAACGTTATCAAACCTATCTATAAGGATTAATAGAATTAAATGTTTTGTAATATCGTTGCAGGCCTCCATTCGAGCTGCTGGAGGAGTGGCTGGAGTGCCTGGAGTGCGAGCTGGGCGCGGGCGGGGCGCCGCCCCCCTCCCTGCTGCAGCGACTCGCCGACTACGCCCCCCACTGCGCCAAGCTCAGGTACTGTATAAACGACAAAATATCACCATTGGCTGGTTTCCTAGGTCAAAAATAAATTAATTCACCGTTTCAATACAATAAAATAAATATACTTTTATTCATCGACCTGTCGATACACAAATTTTTCGATGTCTTTTAGCTAATTTTTAAGAATTAGGTAAGCTATTTGATTGAAAAATACTATGACATCATAATTTAGAGTTTCATACAAAAGTATGTTTTTGATATTAAGATCAAAAAGTATTTAATTTGACTTTTGAGTTGGAAACTACCGTATAATTTATCTAACTGCGGCTTGCTTAGTCTATGAAGAAAAGCTATCTTTCACGGCATTAATAGTTAAACAAGAAAACTAATCAACGGATGAATGACTGATCATTGATGATGATAACTGATGCTAAGCAATTAACGCCCATGGACGCTCGCAACACTTGAGAATTTGGCAATGTGTAAATTATGAAATTTGGAAAGTCTATGATGCTACTTCATTGGTAACACGCTGTGATTCTTTCACGCTATTTGCCGTCTTTAGTCAAGCTGACCCATTCGTGCCAAGACACTCAAGACAAAGCAGAAGGCCTTGCTTTGGCGGTTGACGTCTGCCGGCTCATGATAATGATAATTATTATTATTATGTTTTCAGTAAGGACAGCTGTCAGCCGCTTAGTAAGGCGAAGAGTGGAGACCTCAGCATACCTGATGCGGGAGTACTCAAGGTAAGAACAAACACATTATCTATTTCTTAAAATCAATGTCACTTTTCGTTGTAAATTTATTACTGAAAAACGGGCTCACTAATGCAAACCAAATGTTTAGGCTTTTTGGTACTAGTAGTGGTTTACACAAAATCAGTAGAGCGTCTTCATTTATTACGTAAGCAAAGCTCGGACGAATAAACTTGTTTTAAAAAAAATTAAGCACTCAAAATATACCGTATAAAAGTAGCCACATTTTTTACATTTAAAAATTATGTTACTGCAGGATATATTTCAGCTGTGCCCTACTGGGTCCATTTTGAGTCTAACCCCTATAATGTACCACCTGTCATTTATCATATGGAATGCTAATAAAAAAATTGAATTTGAATTTAACACAAATCCAATATCTACAAACTAAAGTAATAATTGTTTTCCAGTCGCCGTCTACCGCGACCCTGTCGGTCCCGGAGCGCGGCTGGCGCCTGGGCAAGTGTGTGTCGGCGTCCCACATCGGGGCTCGGCCCCCGGCCGCCAGCGCAGCCCCCGCCCTCTGTCGCAGCCAGTACTCGCTGCACACCGCCGGGTACATCCTGCATGCCCAGGGGAACACCATCAACATTACCAAGGTAAACACCGCCGCCATTTTATCCCCGGATGTTGACAGAGGTACACATAATTCCACAGATTTTATGTACCCCTTTTTTCAGCTTTATATATTTATATAAATTAGTCTACGAGTTTAACTCCTAACTCCATTTCTCCAGGTTGACGACATAACCAAGTGGCTAGACCCGCCCCCCCTGAAGCGGACCCCCCCGGACCCCCACCTCGACCGCCTGCCGGACCACAAGTCCAGGAAGCTGGAGCCCACAAACCTGCCCGCCTTCCTGCGGAACCAGTCCGTCGAGGAACTAGACTCACAGTACAAGCTACACGTACACCCCCCACTGCCATTCTGCAGGCATATCAGCATCCCCAACAGTTCCCCTGTCCCCCTCGACAACGAGGACTCGGACTCCTCAGACGACGATGACCAAATCAGCACCTGGGAACGGAACGTCAAGATCTTCGACCAAATGGAGGTAGACCCCAAGAACGCTATCGCCAACCTCGTCAAGAAAGGAGAGAACTTACTCTCGAAGAAAGCGAGCTATGACGTCACCGACGTCGTGCTCAGAAACCCAGAGTGCATGACTCACGAGCGTAAGATACCCGAAGTAGACTGCAGGAGGTACAATATAGACTACCTCACTAAGAGCCCAATAATGGCGCAGGGCGTCAAGAACATATCTAAAGCGGTGGAGAAGGACAAGTCAGTAGAGAAAGAGAAACCGCAGGAGAAGTCAGGGTTCTTTCCCAAAAAACTGCTGTCACCAAAGTTCAGTAGACTGTTCAAACCGAACACTGCCGAGGTCGTTCGGAATAAGGATGTGGAAGACAAGGACAAATCCAGGAGCAAGTTCTTCGTACAAAGACCCGCGTCTCCCAGCAACATGGGCCGCTCACACCGGGTCAGACCTTCGGACACTGACAAACCGATGCTAAACAAAGATGTCCTAAAGTCCGACATCAAACTAGCCAGCATGGGCAAGCCGATGACTCCAATATTCCGACGACATTTGGGCGAGAAACCAGAGTTCGCGGACGGCAGGTTCAGCTACAGAGACCGAAGGTCGAAACCTAACGAAGACTCCAAGTTTATAGAGTTAGGACGAAATAGGATTAAGGCCCCGCTTAGTACACTAGAGGGCACGAAACTGACCCCATTGATACGTAGTTCCCATATAAATAATATTGCAGCGTTGACAACGGTGCCGGAGAAGAAGATTGTTGAGAAAAAGAAATGCGATGAGTTACCGAAGCGCAGGGAGCCTGGCATTTCTCGCAGTAACTACGTAAGTCTCGCTAATCTTAAGATCAATGGTAAAGGCAAAGATGTTGATGAGAAATGTAGACAGAGAGGCAACGAGGATTCCCCGGTCGAGCGAGTTATGTAGGTTTGGATTATTGAGATCCGGTGTCGAGTTATGGTGGTAATAACTTTTTTCAAGACCCCATTTGGACCTTGGGAAGGTATGATATTTAGTTTTTTTTTTATATTCTTTTCGTCTTTTAGATTCATTTAAAACATTACACATTTATTTGTTTCTTTTCTTACGCAATCAATTTCTTGTAACGTCACGGTCTAGCACATTTTCTATCGAAAGGTGGCGAAGCGACCCCCTGCTCTATAACTTTAATTTTTATTTGATGCGACAATATAAAAGACTCGTCTAATATTTTATCAAAATCTAACTGACAGGCTTAACAGTATGACTACCATGTATGTTGGCAACCCACTCTTAATACTACTGGTATTACAAGCGTACAATACAGTGTCAGTTTATCAACAGCTTCAGCACTTAGGAACATTGTAGCTATCTATCAGTGAAATAATTTTAGCAATCCGACCAGCGGTTCCAAAGATTACCCCCTACATACAAACTTACAAATTTTACTTATTTATAATATTAGTATAGATGACGTTTTCTGGTCGGCTATGCTCGTCATTAGCTAAATAGTCTATTTTTCGTTTGACGTCTATACGTATATAGCCGACCATAGCGGTCCAAAGGCCAATAAAAGTTATTACCACACCTCCAGCCTTGATGTCCGGCATTAACAAGAAGAATTCTTGCCTCCATTGTACTAGTTATACAGTTGTTATAATTGTTGAATTGTTGTACTTATGAATGCTTTTCTATACGATATTTGTAATCGCTTCGGAGTGCCGCGTTTTGACCGTTCAGCAGTTCAAGTAATTTTTTATTCAATTTTCAACTCTAATATTAAAATGTATTTAAGTTGAAAAATTAGTGGAGTAGGTCGATAGCCCTGCTGGTTTCTGTACTTGAATGATTCGATGTGTGAAGCCTGTTTAGAATTGGTATAACGATTGGAAACTGTCCGTTTTGGCGGTGCCTTCTAAAAGACTGCGTTCTATAGAAATTATTTTCTGGTAATATAAGCAAAATCATTAAAAAGAAACCAACATCAGGAAGACACGAATTAAATAAACACTTATCTTAGAATTATCATTAGAAATTGTTTTCAGGCACATTTCAAATACTTACACCCGGTTTCCGAAAGGCCGATCAATGTTAAAATCAATTTAATATCTTGTCAAGTCATCTGATTGGTTGACTGAATTATCAACAACCAATCAGATGACTTGACAAGAGATTTAACAGGAGATAAGTTAATTTTAGCGTTGACAAGCCTTTCAGAAACCGGGTGTACTTCTTGGTTTCGGACTTAATAAAAAAGTTTTTCCCTATGAAACAAAGAATGTATTTTTACCCGACTGCCAAAGAAGGAGGGTAATGTTTTTCGAGTGTATGTAAGTATGTATGTATGTCTGTTCCTTTGTGACCTCCTGTAGCCTAAACGGCTTGATGGATTTTGATGTATGAGGTATCGTTAGATTTGTCTTGATTACGGGAGTGTCATAGGATACATTTTATCCTAAAAGTCCCACGGGATAAAGACATAATAATATTTTTTCTAAATTTCCCTTTAAAAAAACAGCTAAAAAGTTATAAATAAAAAAATTATTATTAAAAAAACAAAATACCCGACTGCACACTAAAAAAAGAGTAAAACAAGCCCCACAATACAAATTTACTGAATATAATTTATAAATGTTGATGGAAAGCATCGCAGGCGGGGACCACCTTGACCGCCACCAACGAAAATTCTGCTAAATGGTGCACAACAGAAATGACTATAAATAAGCCTCTGTTGGTCCCCGCCTGCGATGCTTTCCATCAACATTTATAAATTATATTCAGTAAATTTGTATTGTGGGGCTTGTTTTACTCTTTTTTTAGTGTGCAGTCGGGTATTTTGTTTTTTTAATAATAATTTTTTTATCACATAAAAAATATCACTTTGCTCACATTATCAGATTTTTTTATTTAAAAAAGAAACAATTTTGTATTACACTATTAAAAGCTAATCCATTTGATATCCAAAGTATTTGTGTACCCACGCTTTTATATTCCATGACCACTTTATATTACGAGTATATAGGGAAGCTATTATAATATATTTATGTTTCTATAAAGTCAAAGTCAAAATTATTTATTCCAACTAAACCATAAATAGGTACTTTTGAAACGTTAAAATAGGAGAGCAGTCTGTCTGTCTGTTCGTCAGTGAAGCTAGGTGCTCATTCCAAATTGTAGATTCGAATGGAGAAGAACGAGCAAGAAACTCCATAATGTTTCATAGTAGTGCCGAAATTTATTTTAAGGATTTTTCCAATTTCGTATACTGTCCGTAATATCTTGCCTTATGATAATACATAGTAGGTACATAATTGGACGTGGTTACGCAAAAAGGAACCATCCCTTAAAGTGACACTTTTGAGATATTGACGTTTAAAGTTTAAATCGTCTTCGCTCATTGATATTTTAGTTTGTGATTAGGATAAAGTGGATTGGATTCATTTTAAGTTTTAAGTTGTTGTCCGGTTTCAATTTCCTATAATTTATTTATAGTGATCCAAACAGCTTGATTTGTTTTTTGCGGAATTTAAATAAAAATCCGTCGTAGATGTTAGTTAGTACACATGAACCACAGGAATATTAAAAAAAGGCCAAACTACCATCATCATCATCATCATCATCAGCCTATAAGTGTCCACTGCTGAGCGAAGGCCTCTTCTCACACGGAGAAAGTTAGAGCATTAATCACCACGCTTGCTCAATGCGGGTTGGCGATTTCAAACTTATAATTAGAAATTATAAGTCCAGGTTTCCTCACGATGTTTACCTTCACCGTATGTCAGTGGTGTCTAAATAATCATAGAAAGTACAAATAACTCGAAAAAGTCACATTGGTACTTGCCAGGTTTCGAACCTACACCCTCATGCATGAGAAGCGGGCGCCTTAATCTCCGGGCCACCACCACATGTAAGCCATTCTTACCCAAACTATGGGTTGGTTCCTTTCCACGTAACTACGCCCAATTTTGCAATTTAAAAAATACAATTTATTATTATTGAAACTGTCCCTTGATTAAGATACAGAAGTGAAACTGCAAAGATTTTCGGTATAATATGTCAATTAGAGGTGATTATTGAATTTTCCTAATATATTTATTTATTAATGTATACACAATGATGTACTACAAAATATATGTGTATTTGTATTGCAATTTTAAAATAATTTTGCGAACTGTTTCCATAAATTACGTCTGAGTATGTGAGTAAGAAAGTAGTATATCTATTCTAGCAATACATGAAAATTATATATATCGATATATCGGTTTTACAAACACTTTGTAAAAAATTAAAATAAATTGCTCCAGGCGTTATTGAGTTATGCTCTTACCAACATATTTTGCGATCCATTAATGCTCTGTAAAAACGCTATTGAAAATTGGTGTTTAAGAATTAAACATTTTGTGTATACTACATTATAAAAGATAATCGATAAAATATAAAGAAATTTGGAAGAAGTGACAGAATGTTGAACTTTAAAGGAATATACAATGAATGATTGATCTATGATACTGTAAGCAAATGTTTGTTTACTGTTAAAAAGGATATTTTGCTTAGAATGGCAATAAAAGTGCGCGAGCGTACGGCGCGAAGCGTTCCGCGCGCGCCTCAAAGAGCCAATAGACCAACACAGACGGGGCCCTATAGGGCTGATGTTCAGCCGGGGTTGCGGGGTAAGCGCAATGAGGGACCGCGACCTCGGCCCAGAGCAGGAGAAGGAACAGGGGGGTTTCTAGTCAGTAAGAGTCTGACACTCCCTCCTGCCCGGCCCTGGGAAAGTACATAAATCCTTTCATTGACCATTTCGTTATTATGGATGACGATAACAAGGTTACAATCAGGCATAGAACAAAAATCTTGTGTGACGAAATTTATGGACAGTTCTAATCGATTGCTTCTACGAATTTACTACGTATATTGTACAGTATTTATGATATTGGACTCTATTCCCTATTCTATAAGGTGCTTTGTTAAATATGTTGCTAATCTGAAAACAAAGTTTTTAAATTTAAACTTTGTACTACAAATTTATTCTTGAATTGGATCAGTATTCGCTTAAACGTTCAGAGTTGAAATAAACTCTAGCTTCGGGTCTTAAGATTCAATTTGCAACGTAGTTAGCTTCACGCATTTGTTGAAAAGTTATACGGAAATATACACAAGTTATTTTCTACATATAGATATGTAGTAGTTATATTTGTAACGTTTTTATATTGTAGAAGAAATATTACGATTATTTGAATTTCTTAGAGAATAAAAAGGTTTTGTATTAAGAATTTTGAAGACAGACGGTGATAATTATTAATAATCTCAATGATATTTATTAATTTGATTTCCAGGTCGGGTAAAATATTGATTTGGAAATAATGTTCAATAGGTACTCACTTATTTCTCACTACATAGACTCTAAAATATATAATTTATCAATACCAAAATGTCCCAGTGAATTCTGTCCAAAAAGTCCTGTTATAAAAAAGTTTAATACATCAGATTTGACATATATGTTTATTATTGTTATACTTAATCTGTGCCATTAATTGCCAATATATGGAACTATCAATATTTGCAGTCTGGCAATACCTATAGTTGACAAAATTTATGCGGCTTACTCTCTGAAAGTATTCGAGTAAAAGAGGACTATTTTCAAATCACACCGGGGCTCTTACTTATAAGCGGTGTTCAGGAAAGTGTTTGAAACTAGTAAAGCTTTTTTAGAAAATTGAGTAAGTCGTATATTTAATCAAATTTAGCATGTCTCACGATAGTTACCGGAAGAATAATCCTCTCCTCCCATCCTCGACCCAAAATCCCCAATCCTGAAATAACCGGCAACGCACTTTTACGCCTCCGGTGTTGTGGGTGTATATGGGTGACTCCCGATTGCTTACCATCAGGTAATCCGACTCGCGCCCATTGCCATAACACATCTAAACTTACAAAAGCCACGACATTAGCGTTAAGTTATCAGACAATATTGTAACTGTATTAATTTATTAACATT